CACAGGAGACTGTTGGAGGGGCTGGGGGTTGCTGCAGCATCGATGTGAAGTAGCTTACTGAGCACACAGTCGGTTTTGCCAGACAAAACAAACAGCAAAAAAACAAACAACAGCAATCAAGGAGTGTCCTCCTTGTGAACCTCACTCATGACTGTTGATAGGAGCTTAGTTCAACTAAGCTGCCAGTGACTAAAGCAAAGAGTTTCTATCTTCTGCCTAAATATGTTCATCAAACAAAAACAAAAAGACCAACTCTCATTATAGGAGTAAACCTATAACTTGTGATGTCATAAGATTCGTTCATTAGCCAGCCTTTATAAAGACCAGGAGTTTTTGTGAAGATCAAATGGGATTTCTATAAAGAAAGAACATTGCACCCGGGAGTGGGGTCATGACTTAACAACTATTGCTAATAACTTTTGCTATTAGTCAAGATAGCCAGACACGGAAACATATTAATGTTTTACACATAAATGGTTATTATGTGTTTATTTTAAAGGATGACTGTGGCAAGTTTCTTATGCCAAAATGGATAGAACACCATTTGAAGGTGGTCATTCGGGAGCCAGCAGGCGTAATGGAGTGGGCGCCAGGGAGGGGCGGGTGCACCTGGAGCCACGCCTCTCCCACTGAATTCCCGCTCAGTCTGCTCTGGCCCCCTGAGGATCCCAGGGTGGAAAGAGTGGAAATCCACTTCACGTGCTCACAGCGAGCTGCAAGCTGAGAATCTCAGGTGCTGCGTCCAGATGGGTGTCTGCTCTATTACAGGACCCTCCCCCCCAGAACCTATAATGAAATATGAATTCATGTTTTAAAAATAAATCTTGTATTTAGAGTGAAGAATAATACAATGATATTAAGTTATGACTTTCAGGGTTAAATTATGAAATGTAAATATTAAAAATGTGTTATAATTTTTGAAACTCTGTTTTAGAATTTCTTCATTTTTTAACCTATTAGGTTACTTAAATAACAAGGTGATCTAGGCCTTGCTCCATCTTTGAGGGGTCTGTGGCCCTCCAGCCCTCCTCATATAGGAGCTGTGTTACAAGGTAAGGTCCTTGAGGTGTTACATGTCCAGTGTAGGGTAGGGACAGCTTGCTTCGCTTATTCATTACCCGTGTCTTCCGCACACAGTCATGTCTCCGTAAAGACTCCAAGAACAGACACTGTAACTGCACTCAAGGTTGCTGAGTGGATCCACTGGTTACACTGCCATAGTTGACAATGATGTTAGCCAAGAGAACAGAGAGAATTACTTTTCTCTCTAGCAAATTTGGGGATATTTTTGATACATGATTGATGTTAGAGGTAGAAATTATGCAACCGTTGGGAAAAATGAAGCTGTTTTAATAAAATGAGGTCTTCTGATCCTCTTATGCAGCATAACTGACATATAAAACATCTGAGATGTTATGCTTTATTCCTCTGTTTCTCTCCACATGCACACACACGTCCCCATGTATCCACGCATCTTTGCATGGATGGGCAATTAGCTCTATGGAAAGGATGACGTCACCAGAGATGAAAATGCCATCAGTGTCATCTGAGAAGTGCAGTGGGTGTCGTACTTGAAGGAGGGCTGCCAGATAAAATGCAGGGGCCCAATTAAATTTGAATTTCAGATAAACAACAAATGATTGTCTTTGTATAAGTGTATAGTGTATATTCAGTATACATGTACCCCATGGAGTTCTAACACTGACAACTCTAACTTGGAGATCCAGAAAGAACAGAACCAAGGTCTCTGAAACAGCCATGTGAAGAGTGGGCGACAGAAGGCATAACTGACGCACAGTAGGTGCTCAGTAAATGCCAGGTTCCAAAATCCCCCCAGAAGGCAGGTAAGTGTGAATTCCTCCTTTCAGGTCCTGTGGCAAATCCTAAAACAAAGTAATGGATCAAGTGTTTTAAAAATCTTCATATTTAACAAATTAACAACTTCATCACCCATCTGAGGTGATGTATTATTCATAGCTACAGAATTTGTTTTTCAACATTGATTCACAAGGCTCTAGACACTGGGTGGTCCAGGGTCAGTCTGAGGTTTAAAACGGGCTGACAAATACCTCCTTCAACACTACCAGTTATTCATGTTAACTCTTGGCCCTTGGTGAGTGCAGTGATAGGCATGGTCACTGGGTGGTTCCCATTTCCTTGTGACAAACGGGGAAACTCAGGTATAGGAGTGCACTGTGTAGCCAGGCTCAGGGAGGCAGAAATGGCAGGACAGGGACCGGAACATGGGGCTAGGACTTGCTTTGCCGCCTGAGACCTGTGCTGAAACCAGTTGACAGAGACAGAGCCTCAAAGGCTTCTGGGTCCTCAAGGGTCACTGGGTCACGAAATGCAGCTGACTGTGGGAGCTGTAATTACTTCACTAGGAAATTATTCCTTTAGTGTGAAGCAGAACTGCTTCTGTTTCTGGTCCTCCAGGCACAGAGACACCAAGAAAACACAGTTAATTAGGCACTTCGGAGCCTAGACAACTGCCTGCAGAATCAAGTTGGAGGATTTCCATTTCACCCTGAAGGCTGGAAGCATTAGTTTCTGTCAGAAGTGCTTCGAAGATGACCTGGTAGAAAACTACGCCAATCAAGCTATCATTGAAAAGCATTTCAGCTGTGGGGTGGGTGGTCTGCCTTTCTGTGTGGAGGAAAGGCTTCTGGCTTTCTGTTCACAATTCCCAGCATTCCTGACAGAGGACTCTGCCTTTATCCCAGGATGTTCTTCCATCAGCCTGCTGGGCTTTCAGCTTGGCTGGGGCTGAACAAATGGGAATAATGCAAATTAGAATATATGCAGAACAACAGTTCTCAACCAAGGCCAAGTGTATCTCCCAAAGGAAATTTGACAACGTCAGATGTTTTTTGGTGGTCATCACTGGGACCATACACTTGGTCTCTACTGCATAGTAATCAGGACTATTGCAAAATATCCTCAGTGAGCAGGAGAAATCCTCATGCCAGAAAGCATTTGATCCTAAACATCAGTTATAGCTGAGTTGAGAAAAACTGCTGTGGAAGACTCAGTCATTCCTTGGGTCTACAAGTATTTCTCATGCCGCTTGACTGACAAGCAGCGTATAAGAACAAGAATTGACACTATCTTCACTTGGCTCCAGAGATCACACACTCTTCTGGTCATTGTTTCCTCCCTTTCAGCAAACTTTCTGTATCCTCTTGGCTGTTTCTCCTTATTTCCTAGGCCTCTTAAAGTTGCCATGCGTCAGGTCTCAATTCTTGAGTATTACTGCTCTACATACTCTGTAGGTGATCTTGTATGGTTTCAGGACTTTAAACATCATTGGTTTAAACCTAAGATTAGAAAACCAGCATGAAAGGCAACAAGCACTTATTTCAGATCAAAGAACTACAGTCCTGGAAGCCCAGATTCAGGCACAAATCCAAATAGTGTCCTGACCACAGGGTGAAGGCAACAGGTTTTTATGAGAAAAGGAAGGAAATAATTACATTAAAAAAAGAAGGAATTCCTGTAGGTGCTGATAAACTGAGCTACCCTTGGCTATACACAATTGGTTACCGGTTCTATCTTCAGATAGAGAGTTCACAATCACTGGTCTTTGTGGTGAGGGTGTCCACTTTCCTTCTGGTTTTACCAGCAATTGTTTGTGAGACAATGTTAGTTTGGCCCAGTCCAAGGGTCTGGCCCAGTTCAACCATTCCAAAGGGTCAGCGAACAAGGCGTGCAAAGCAGTTCCTCTGGGATGGCGGCCCTGCTTATGCTGACTTTTACAACATATCAGACTCCCGAGTTTGTGCCATTCTGGACTTTGAAGTCCAGACACACATATCTCACTGTCTACCTGACTTCTCTACTCTGTGTCCACGAGATATTTGGCACCCAGCGTGTCTAAAAATTAAACTTCTCATTCTCTCTTACATTCCAAAGTTGATCCATCCACAGCCACTCTGTTAAAATTATGCCCCCAATACTGCAATTATATTCACTCTTTATTTTTCTCAAGCCTATTTTTCATCTGCTAGCAAAAATTGATGACTCTAACTTCAAAATATATCTAGAATCTGATCAATTCCTATTATTTTCACTGACCCAGTGTCTTACTCCATTTGAGCTACTATAACAAAATACCACAGACCAAGTAGCTTATAAACAACAGAAAGTTCTTCTTCACAGTTCTGGAGGCTGGGAGTCCGAGCCCAGGGTGTCAGCATGGCCAGGGGAGGCCCCTCTTCCATGCTGCGCACTTCTCACTGCATCTTCCTGTGGTGGGAGGGGCTAGGGAGCTCCGTGATATCTTTTATAAAAGCTCCAGTTCCATTCATAAGGGCTCTGCCCTCCTGACGCGAGGACCTCTCAAGGGCCCCAACTTCTCACACTATCACACTGGGTATTAGTATTCCAACATGGATTCTGGGGGAACACAAACATTCAGACTATAGCACACACGGTCAAGCCACCCTCATGTGTTGCCTAGGTTACTTCCATAACCTCCTCACCGCTTTGGACCCCTGTTCACAGAGGCTGGGATGGCTAAATATCCCCCAGTATCCAAAATTGTGCTAAAGCATGTTTACAGCTCATACAGATAAGTCATATACAAATGTCTTTTATACAAGTAAGCATAACAATTATAATTGCTAATTGTATTAGTTCCTTTTTACTGGTATAACAAATTCCCACAAACTTAGTATAGGTTAGAAAGAAATCCAACACAGGCCTCACTGGACTACAATCCAGGTGTCTGCATGGCTGCATTCCTTTCTGGAGTTTCCAGGGGAGCATTTCTTTCCTGTCACTCCCCACATCCTGGAGGTATTCTGCATTTCCTGGTCTGTGGCTCCTTTTCCCATCTTCAGAGCCAGCAATGGTGAGTTCAGTCCTTCTCACATCACACTGTCACAATACTCTGACCTCCACTTTCATTTCCTTTCTCTAATTTTAAGGACCCTGGTATTACATTGGGTCCACTTAAATAACCCAGGGAAAACTCCTTATCACCTGAGTAGCATTCTTACTCCATATGTACTGTTCCCAGAAGTATTGCAATACAGGGTCGATGTGTGGAGTTGATGGAGCAAGCTCCTATTCCACCTCCCAATTCCAAAAATCCATTTAATATATTGTCTTTGAATAGAGGGTGTATCAGATATTGAACTGATAAGAACAGATACTGTATTTCATCTTAGCCAAAAGGCCAAGAAGTGATCATCATAGCTTTTCCTAGTCCAGCTCTAATATTTTGATACTTATTGCTTGGCTTCTCCCATTTAATTTAATTAGAGCAAACACTTGACATTACATATTTCTACAATAAAGCAACAAAGGAGAATAAATAATAATAAAATATTTAAGTTTAAGCCAAGTAGTCTTTCATGGGAAGATTATTTCATTTAAAAAATTGTCAAAGGAAAAATATCATTTTTGACATGGAATTGGTGCCAAAACCAACTTTTCAGGACAACAACAGCCTAGAACATTGAGTATTATTTCAACTTATTTCTTCTTTGACCAATTCATGGGTTTCTCCCACATGTTCATTTCTTTGAAACAACAGTAGTAACAACAATTAGCTGAGCGCCTGCATTGTGCCAAACTCAGTTGTGTTTTAATGCATGATTCACTGGAGCTTGCCTAGCAAATGGAAGAGGTGGTACTGTCTTCGTACAGGACCACAGAATAGAGGCTTAGAGTGACTTACTTGCCCTGATGAGAGACAGGGTGGGCATTGGACATGAAGCCAGAAAGACTGAGAGGTTTAAATGACTTTCCATGGGGATCCCAGAAAGACAGTAGCAGAAACACCTCTGGAATTTACAAGTCTCAAAAAAATTCAACCCAGTCATTTTGTCATTAACCAGGCAAAAGTCAAGATTATTCTAATTAAGCTTTTTTTTTTCTTAAGGACATCTTCTGCCTGGGAGAACTTTCCTTCTTCAGGAAACAGTTTGGGAAAAGCCAGTTTCCAGTGGTCATGTTTACTGTGATCTTTATTTGGGGAGAGCATCCAGAAGTACTTTTCGCCATCAATAAGGTCACTTCAACCTGAAGAGTTACAGAGGATTACCTCAGGTGCCCGCAGAGCAGAAGCGACAAGCCCAGGAGCCATTCATTACGCTCACTGATGATTAGACACAAAGTGCTGACCGCGGGAGACTGTGTTCCAACAATGCAATTACTGGCCAAAAATCTTAATAAAATGCACATTTCTTCCCCTCATGCTTCTCAGAGGCAAGCCACTTTAATCATCCCAACCAAAGACAAATGCACAGGTTCAGAGTGCTTGAGGTTTTGGTTACATACCTCCTCTCTGATCTTATGCTGAGAAGATGAATATAAACAGTGTTGTCAGGGCCAAAACACTGCTAAATGTGACACCATAAATCATCTCCATTAGTAAATGTAGTGTCAGGTTCTCATATATTTCAGACTATTTTAAACCCACACTCCATTATTCCACGATATGCCTGAATGAATCCTGGTGCTTTGATACAGCAAGTGAGCCAGCCATCAAATCAACTTGTCTTCCCTGGCTGACTCCCAGAGGGTCCTGGAGGCTAGACTCCCAGTCTCAGGCGACAATGCCTTGCCCATTTCCCTGGCTGCTGGGTCGATGGGAACCCTTCTCTTCGCTTCCTTTTTTTTTTTTTTTTTTAAATTCTCATCCGAGGATATATTTGTTGATATAAGAAAGAGGGTAAGGAAAAGAAGGAGACAGAGACAGAGAGAGAGATAGAGCGGGGGGAGGGAGAGAGAGAGAGGGAGAGAGAGAAATATTGATCAGTCTTCTCCCTACTCGTCCCAACCAGGGATCGAACCCACAACCTAGGTATGTGCCCTGACCTGGGGCTAAGCCCACAGACTCTGGGTGTACAGACCAATGCTCCAACTAACTGAGCAAACTGGCCAGGGCCTTCTCTTCTTTGTATCTTTTTTTTCCACTGAAGGATGTGAGGAAAGGCTGAGTACACATATACATCATTGGTTCTACCACTGAGGTAAGGGCTGGGTGTTCATCTCGTTTCCTAAACCAGAGTGACAGTTGACCTTGCACTCTAAAAGTCTATTCCTTTTTAAAAAACCTTGATTTTCAAAGCCAAGCTTCCTTGCCTTTCATGCTTAAAGGCTAAGATCTATCAGGGGATCTTAAACATAAGCAGTTTCAGAGGTCATAAATCCCTAGAAATTGCATGCCAAATTTTACGTGTATAAGGAGAAAATATGCATTTTTCAGGGGGAAGAATTCATCAGATTTAAAACAAACAAAAAGGTCCCGTGCATGACCCATAATATTTTAAATGCCCTTGGAAAGAGGATTGGTAAAGGGTTTTCTTCCTCTAAAAGCAAAATGCTAATTATCGATGTGCTGATGTTGCATTTCTGATCCGACAAGCACAATAGGTGCTGATGCTTGTCCCACGTCAGAGAGGACTTGGAACAGGGCTACGTAGAAGTGAATACATAGATAAATTAACAGAAGAACAAACAAGTGGATAACTTAGATGCTTGTGATCAACAGTTAAGGGAAAGAATCCTCTAATTCACAGAGTGTTAAAAGGAGGAGGGCTGGGCCTTCTGTACTTTCAGAAGTGATGGAAAAACACTACCTCCAAAGTTAACTGTGCTTAATCATGGCCTGTTCCTCTCCTCTCTCCTACTCCCCATCATGAATGAATATCATTGAAAATATGGTAAGATGGGAGCTACTATAAGGCTAGGCACAGAGTGCTCCGAGCAATGATGGGGAGCACCTGACCCAGCTTCTCAGAGGAGTTCAAATCTACATTAAATATTCAACTGTAAGGTCAGAATGAGCTAGGTGCAGACTGGATGTTAGAGCTATGGAGAAAGAGCATTCTTTGGCAGAAAGAATAGGATATTGGGTTTTTTGAACATGTTCTCATTGACAAACTGAAAGAAGTTCCAAGGGGCTGGAAATGGGAAGGGGAGGTCTTGAGCCTTCTGTGGTTACACTGTCCAAGTCACCTGCTCTCAGTCACTAGTGCATTTCCATATGTCGGACTCCGAGATAGTACATATTGCCATCGGAAATTATCTTTATTTGGTCATTCATTAAACAAGCATTGATGGAGCTTCTTTGGTGTTGAGTATCCCAGTCTCCTTGTTAGGGGTAGAGCAGGGGAAAAAAACACATCAAACTCCTGCCCCCATGGAGCTTAGCTAGCACCTACTTCAGTCACTCACTTACTTACTTTTTATCTGTTTTCCCCATAGCCTCTGAAATGTCCCTTCCACAAGGGCAGAGACCTTGTGTATACTGCACATTATTTCTCTGCCTAGTGTCTAGAACGCTGTTATTTTAAGGTAGAATAGAATATGATTAGACCTTTGCTTAAAAGAGCATTCTGGCTATATTCTAAAAAAATGGGTTGGTGTGGGAAGATTGAAGACAGAATAACCGCAGTTTCACAAGATCATCGGGGACTCCACGTGCACACTCATGCTGGAGAAACACTGCCCTGAGTAATATGAAGCTCTCTCTCTCTCTTAAAAAAAAGATTTTTTTTCAAATTCTTCAGAAGAGAATTCTCTAACATTCATAATGTTGCTGGCTTTTTCCCCACTCAAATCACCACAGGTAGGTAGATGCCACCATGTACGCCAGCAGGCCAAGGATGCCACTGAGAATCACAGCCAGGGACTCTGCAAGTCAACGTGGTTTGGAGGCTAGGGAGCGAGCAGGAAACGGATTCCGTCATCAGGTACCCAAGTTCATCTTTATGAATTCGTAGCAGAATACTTTCAAAACATACATACAGCTAGAGTGGTAAACCTAAGAGTAGAGTATAAAAAGGAGAATTTTAAAAGTTGGTAATAGTGAGCCTTTACTGTATATCTGGTGCTGTTGTAATTGTGTGTGTGTGTTTGTGCTAGTGTATGTGTAATGATTCACACCTAACCACAACCCTGAGAGGCTGGTATTATTATCACTGGTAGCCTTACAGAGAACACAATTTTCATAGCATCCATCATGGGGGGAAAGAAACGAAGAGTTAAAGAAACACTATGTTATATAACTTTTGGACAAAGAGTTTAGAATGCTAAAAAGGCCTAATTATAAATAAAGTAAAACCCAAACCATAAAACTTTCTCAAAAGAAAGGGAATTTGTCTTACTGTTGAATGGATTTGGGGGCAGAAATTGCTGAGCGAGTTCTGATTACCTTGCTGAGGATGCCAGCAATTGGCAACAATCATACCGATTACAGACCATTTAAGCAACCTCAATTAAATTAGCAGTAATTCTAAACTACTCCGTCTTGCATGAAGATTGCTTTAATTTTTATGTAAATTCAAATTCTGGTGGTGCAACTAATTGTTTCACAGCATACTAAGCTAGATTATTTTCATTTATCTTTGTGGAAACCTCAAAACTGCATTCAAAACATTGGTAGTTGTGCGCAGAGACTGAACTCGCCCCTGCAAGGTAGTCTTGCACAAAGGACTCAAAGATCAGGCCCATTTTGCTGGCTTTCCTCTGAGTCTATACAGGCAGACTCGTGTATGAAATAAGGATAAAGTGGCAGATTGAAGATCACCAGGGTTTAAGAGCGCGATAGTGGAGAGAACACCCTGGACCAGGGGTCTGAATCCCTGACTTAATTCTGATTCTGCGATCTACTTCCTTTGTATCTGCAACTGTGTAAAGACTTACTGAGAAGGGGTCCAACAGTTAGTTGCTACGGTGTGATAAAGAACCACACACTTTCAATGGATTAAGATAAGCATTTATGTCTTACTGAAGAACCTGTATATGCAAGTAGGCTCAGGTTTTGGCTGATGTTGGCTGACCTCACTTGAGCTTGGCTCCAAGCTCCTGTTTGAGTCTGGGTCTTCTCCACGTGTCTCTCATGCCCCTTAGGCCGGCACTGCCTAAGGCACATTCTGTGTCCAAAAACAGGAATGCTGGAGGGCAAGCTCCCTTCAAGTGCTGGTGTCACGGCTGTCTACCAAATAACTGGCCAAAGCAAAACATGGGCCACTTCTAAATGGAATGGGGAGGAAAAGTCCGCTTTGTCCCCATAAGGCCATGACCTGGATGTGGACGACCATTAATTTCAAGTTATCTTACTCTTCCCTTTCTCTTTAGCTTCCGTAGCCATAAACCAAGGTGGGTGGATTTCATAACTATCAGGACACTTCCAGTTCCTACGTCATTCTGCAGATGTAGGAGAAATTCCATGCAATT